CAGGACAAAGAGATGATAGATACATCTCAAACACACAAAGACAAAGCTAAATATAAGACAAAGAAATATAAGACAAAATGTAAGACAAAGAAAAACATAAAAACTTGGCCTCTGATTTATGGAAGCTGACATAAATAATCACCTAAGGTAAAGGACAGCCTGTAACAGCTGATGATTTGCTTATTGGCTGGATAATGGCCATCCCATTACCATTTAAGAGGCTCATAAAGGACTTAAGTAGACCAATAGACAGCAGAGGACTTTCTCTGGCATGGCCAACTTTTCTATTGCTATCTTGGTCTTTGCCATTGGCATCTCAGAAAGAGTATAACAAGTCCCATCACCAGAGCTGACCCTGTAAGCCACTGTCATCTGCAACAGCTACACCAAGCAGTTCCTCTGGGGATGAGGTTACAGCAAGTAGATATAGCTATAGTTTCCATCCTTCCATTTATGCTGGCTGTCCAGGGGGCAAATTAAGTTAAAAAGTTAAGTAAGTGTTGCATAGTACCAAACGCAAAACACTAATTATTTTCAGCTGAGGAAAATATACAAGATCTACAGAAGTAAATAATTTAACATTTTTCCCATCAGACTGGCTAGCCTGCAGGCATACTAACGTAAAAGCAATGCTAAAAACATTCACTATTTGGTATTTATTGAACAGCTGAACTGCCTAGCCAATGTGCACTTTATTTCTCTTGAAATAACTCTTATAATTCTTAATAGTAAACTCATTAGCAGATTTAAAGCAACAAGTCTATCTATTCCATCTTTCTATTTATGCCACAATTACCTTAAAAGAGGTTCAGGATGGAACATAAGCTGAAAGTCTTCACAGAATATCTATTTTTAATATACAGATTTGCAAAACATCGTACAACTAAAGCTCTGCATTTCCTAAGCATAGCTGCGTTTTTTTCCTGACAGCGTTTCAGTGCAGGTCCAATGTAAAGAAACAAACTTAACAGCTCTTTCAAAGAGATGCTTTGTTTTCACAGAATGTCAACTCAAACCTTTAAAGAGTGGGAAAAAATTTGCTAAAAAAAAAGAAAAGAAAATAAAAAGGAATAACTTTACTTCTTCAGAAGGGATTGTAAAGGATTTCTTATTGCCAAAGGTTCTCTTCATGTTGATGACAACTCAACACATTTCATTTTTTACAGATAGAAAGTACATCCAAGTAACATGAAATACCCTGCAAACAAACATTGAAAACAGTTCAATTGAAAAGATCCGATTTATATGAGACAACACATAGCTATGTGTGCAAGTACACAATTTGTCACACATCCATAACCGGACAATAGGACATTGCCAATAGCGGACGCCCAACATGTATCTTTCTTCCCATAATCTGCTCCATCCAGTCCCACTGGCAGCCCCTCAGACGAATATTAACAGTAAAATTCATACCATGGAGAAGTACAAGCCTCACCATAGAGTAGCAGACCAATGGCTTATCTTCCCCTTTATCACAATTAATCTGTTTATACTTTACCTCACCAACAGCAAGACCCTTACTGAGCAACTACAGAATGACACAACACATCTACATGATTAAGATACTCCATAAAGAGAGAGTGTGTCAGTAAGGTGCATCTAGGCCATCCTATTTAAACATGTACAATCCAACTTAGCTGTAGATATGATATCATTTTGCCTTAAATTGTAAACTGTAAGCACAGAAAGTACTTGATGGAACCACACACCTTTTTCAAGCCCATTGGTCTTCCCATTCCTACGTTATCTTACCTCAGTACACTACAGTTACTAGGCCTGAATTAACTAAGCTGCAGACATCTCTCAAGTTTCAAAGTGAATTGATCAGCAGCATAAAATGAGCTAGTGTACAGAAATTGAATTAGGACCCAACAAGTTGTCAGCTACAGTCCTGTAGGACTCTGGATTTGCCAGCTTAAGGAAACTTGAAGCTTGATCAGAAGCAGCAAGCATTCTGCTAACCCACACAGCTTGTCCAATCTTAAATCAAGGGAGCCATTAACATAAAGTAAGGAGTAAAACTTTGGCTATGCTCTAATCTCTAATTCTTAATGGTGTAAATAATCGAAGACAACAACTCCTGCAGTACCTTTTGGAGCACTGCAGTCCAAAAGCATGTTCACCAGCATTTGCGTTGCTGGATGGCAGTCAGGTAGCAGCTCTTCTCTTGCAGTACTCAAGTAGCTTAGTAAAAAGTATTTTCATGGAAGAGACTTCAGACTAATTTTCATGAGGTAGCTATGGAAAAGACCTGGCTATAAGAGCGGTCACAAAGCAGCAATACTAACGTTTATTTGCAGAAGCTAAGTTTATTCATGTATCTATAATGTTAAAAGTACCTCATCAAATTGGTAAGCGAAAAATGAAGCAGGGGAAGATTACAGGGACTGTAAATGCACTAAAAAAAAAAACCAAAAACAAAAACTAAGTGTAAAACATCAGGGAATAAAAAGATAAAGATTTCACTTGATCTTTTCAGACCCAAAGACAGCGAAGATTACAGAAAGAACCAGAAATCACGGAAAAGCAACTTTCAAGCACAAGTCTGATTAAATCCTATCCTCTGCGTCAATGCAAAGAATGCACATTCTAACATTCTTTTGAATCCTGAAACATAATTCTCTTTCAATGCTAAAGCAAATGTTTGGTCCCTGTAATGTCTACTTACTCTTCAGAACAGAAAATACAGAACAATATACACAAGAAAGCAAAATGTAGGCCTTTAAAAAAACTTAAAGAACAATTATTTACATTTAAATTGTTGTTATTCATGGGGATTTTTGGTTTGTTGTGTTTTTAAATTAACACACATCATTTCCTTACCTTGCAAATGGTCTCTGTATCCCAGGGTAAGATCGTCCTCAGATCAATAACTTCACAGGACACACCAAGCTTTTCTTGAGCCATTGCTGCCACCTCTTTGATCACATGTACCTGAAAAGGCAATGTATTATCACCAAGTAAACATTTAATTTGTTTAAGATTTTCCCAGTTATGCATACTGAATACAAGCAATGAATTAACATAATACCTCCACATCTAGCATAAATGCTTTTATTCAGTAATCTAATAAGTCTTTGTTATTCAGTTCATTCTTATTTACTCGTTAGTCCTACTATCTTAGGAGCACTTCAAGAACTAACTTCAATGAAGAATCACCAAAACCAAAACTTGCTATCTAGAAAAGTATCTTGCAGTGATCAGTATAACTATTATATATTTCTAGTCAGTCTGGGGTTTAGGGTAAGGGTTTTTTAAGACAGCAATTAAGCTAAGACCCAGCTATATCAGATATATCAATGTATTTTTATGTAGCAGTAGCATGGAATCCTGCAAGAAGCATTACATACATTCAGAAATAGTCCTAGTAACTACACTTACTAGAATTTACTGAAAATATGATAGATTGCCAAGTGATCATCTCCAAAGCATTGTCTTATAAACAGTTAGAAGAGATAGTAAGTACCATGTAAAAAAATTACCTGTAAACATCCAGTCACAACCCCTACAATCATAGCATATTGGCACTAATATGACAACATGGCCTTTCACTGGTCTTTTAATTAATAAATAATACAGTTTAATACCAACATTATAAATGTTATATTATCTGATTATTATAATTAAAATTTTGCTCAAACAAAAACGCATTCCCCTCTAGCAAGAGGCTTGTACTGAATCAGAATAAATGCTATTCGCTATCCACCAGTCAAGGAATGTATTTAGCAGCATATGTGAGTGCATCAAAGTAGATGTAAAACAACCCATATCTATCAGCATCCTTTTTATAAGAGATGTTATGATATGAACAGAAGAGAAAGCAATACTACATACATTCAAAATTGCATGCTGACATTATGTTATACACTTTAAAGCAAAACATACTGTAAGCATTGGCTTCCCTAAAACAAACATTTGCAAGCAAATGCTCCAACATGGAAAGTAACAACTGATATGACAACAATTCAGATTATCCTCCACAAATACCTCAGCAAAAAGTATTTGCTCATGCGATATGGGGGGTAAAAAAAAATTCTCCATATGATAAAGTAAATAAATTCTGCTATTTTCTTTTTTGTCAGAACATTTAATAATACAGGTTTGGACTGTGGCAGATGACCTACATCGACCAACTTCTATGCATAGCTAAGAGGTTGAAGTCCAAGGATCATCCCCAATAAGCAGTTTGGATGACGTCATCTTGGTCTGGAAAGCAATAGAATTTAACAGTATTGACACAGTCAGGCAGTGTCAGTTGCCTAAGAGACAGAGAGCAGTATTAATTTCTACACAGACCAAAAATCTATTCTGAAACAAGATGATGAAGACATGGTGGAATGGCTTTAAGATGAAAAAGGATAGATTTAGACTAGGCATTAGCAAAAAAATCTTTACTTTGCGGCTGGTGAGGCACTGGCACAGGTTGCTGAGAAGCTGGGGCTGCCCCATCCTGGCAGTGTTCAAGGCCAGTTTGGACAGGGCTTTGAGCAACCTGCACTAGTGGAAGGTGTCCCTGGCCATGGTAGCAGGCTTGGAACTGGATGATCTTTGAAGTCCTTTCCAACCCAAACCATTCTATGATTCTATGATTAAGGATTTAAATATGCATCCACATAATGTAAATACGAATAGCTAAACACCAAAGGACTATTTTAAAAGGTAGATCAATGCAAACATTGTAATACTAAAAATAACAGTATTGCTTGCAATAGTGGTTTTGTTTAAACCTCTAATACTTCTGTGACTGTAATAAGAGGGTTTGAGAAATTTAAACCTGACACATGGGATAGGTATTTTTGTCGTTTCTCTGGATGTATAAGTGAGAATGTTTACCAGCTTCACAGGGGATAAGGATTAGTTAATGACAATAAAACACTGAGCACAACTGGAGAGGAACTCAAAGCCTTTACTGACCCTCATTAGTACGACCCAGGAAACCAAGCACCAGGCAACCCCACCAGAGCAGCAGCTGCTAAGCAACCTCCTGAAGTCTGACATCACATAAGAAGTAACTAGGGAGTACCTGCAATCACTCTGCCCATTGACAATAAATTCTGGATTGGTTGCACATTTAGCAATCAAGTTCCAAGTTTATGTACACAAGCTGAAAACACCCTCAGCACAAACTCACTGAATGTATTTGATCTGCAGAAGCCTGTCACATCCAGAATATGCCAGATTTACTGTGTATGCACTAAGCATCTGTCCCCACACTGTATTATACAGACACACCCATGGTTTGGTCAGCTCCCAAATTCGGATTAGGGCTGCGCATCTGTCCTATTACTATTCACATCAAAAGAACCGTCTCTGTGAACACTTGGCCTACATTTTCCAAGCTCCAAAGCGCACCATCTTTTTGAAGGATGTCACTCCAAGTTATCTATCTCTGCTGTACTGCCTACTTGGTAAACTCAGGTTATTACTGAATCTCCATAGCCAGCTTTCAAGCCACTGCTTTATCAGTTCAACTTTGGGGAATATAACGAATGCTAAGATTTCACCTATATGGTGAGAAATTTGCACTTTCAAAAGGGAAGACAAAGAACTATAGAAACTGCATTCTGCTGGAGAAATGAGTACAAGTAAAGACACTGAAGGAGTCCATAATTTAATACCGAAGACTAGTAGCATTACCATAGATACAAAAGAGATTATAAAGGAAATCAAGTAGTCTGAGGACAAGGAAAATATCACAGAAAAGCACTGAAGATTATAGATTACAAACAAAGGGTGGAAGAGGGGGAAACCGCAGCAAACAAAAAGCACAACCCAGCAATCAATTCTATACTCTTGTGATGATGAAAAGTTTTAACACTCCCTTTTCTGAAAGTTTCTCAGATATAATTAGATGAGGAAAACAGCAATTTCTTAATTATAGGTTAAAGGCAATAAAAAAATTGTTAATTGCAAACTAGATTCAAATTCCTTTTCTATAATTCTTGAAAAATAACATTTATTTTCTTAGTAAATATTTCAATATTTGCATATCTTAATTTGGGGGTTAGGAAGGACAAGGGTTGTCCAGTACTTAAACAGCTTTCAAACATAACTGTTAGAATCAAAACTATATCAATCCCTATTTGTATTAAATATTCAGTGGATTTTAACTCTTTATATAAAGGGAACTCCAGACTGCACTTTTCAAAATCATACAGTAAAAATCTGTACTTCTCTTTCAGCACACTACTTTGAACTTTCCCGTTGCCTTCCTCAGTCATATCTCTGCCCTATTTTAAACATATTACTTCAATAATCATGGATAAATCATTAAACTCATGCACAGGTACCTTTTTCACATTTCCAGAGTTAGCTTCAATCAAAACTAAGTAAAATCTTAACGATAAAAAGCAGGTTTCATATAAATATAAGCACTGGTAATCATTTATTCAAGCATACAGTGATGGAAGATGCATGCAGTTTATTATCTGGCACCTAAAACCAAATGCACCATTATTCAAACATCACCTAAACCTTAGCCTAGGCTTTGCTGGGTGACAAATAGCTTGTAAAAGCCTTACTGACCTGAGTACCCCAAGCAACCAGTGTCACGTCACTGCCCATCTGCAGCACCTCAGCTTGAGACAGGGGAATGTAGTAGGGATCCACAGGAACTTGTTCCACTGAGTAAAATAAAACAAGGGGAGTAATAAGCATTAGATTCCTTTACTACTCAATATTATCCTCTAAAAATATACACTAAAAAATCTCTTTAATGTTAATCAAAATCTGACTAAAACAATAGGCCAAAATCACACTGAGTACAAGCCTTTACATTGAAGGTTTTCCTGTAATTGAAAATATTTTTGATTATACTGTTAAAACCACATTCACTCTAGTGTGTAATTTATGTTATATATCACAGCAATATAATAGATATATATACACAACAATGATAGTAAGTCCTAGTGTGTCCCAAGCTGAAATATTAGCAACAGATTCGGAGATAGACAATACTACAACTGATCAAAAAATCTCAAGTAATCAGTTTTGAATTCTAATAAGCTTCAAGAGAGCCTTGATATTGTACTTCAGTACTCAAACGAGAAGAAAAAGTTGTGACAGCACCCTCCTGGTATCTGCAAAGAATGACGTTCCACAGTTTAATGTCTAAATAGAGGGGAAAAGTTTTCAGAACCTACACTGAAAGTGACATCACGAACTTGTGATTACAGTTTTTGTCTGAATATTTTTGCTTTGGGGTGAAAAAAAAAAGTTATCTATTCATCAAAAATACGTCACAATAATAGAGAGTAGTTAAAAAGACATTAGGGTGGTTCCATTCAACTTAAGACCCATTTACCAGTTTTCAGATGGAAACACATTAGGACAGTTGTGCTAGTTTTGAATCAGTGCTCCAATGTACTATACATTGACGGGTTTAATGATTAAAAATGCAATACAAGGCATACAAATATACATAAATATATCTAATATTTTAAAATAAATGTTTGTTTTGATCGAAAGGTGAACTTGTCTAGGCACCAGAAAGTCAAATAATACTTTTTAAAAGTAAGTTGTAATGGTAAGTGTAGGGGAATCTTAGTCAACTCTCTAAATACACAAAACCAATTTATAAAGAAGGCAGTATTTTTATTTATTTTTTTTTTGTTAACATATTTCATAGTTCATAAAATAGCTATTGATTTCCTG